GCACCATCATCGGCTCCGGCATCTTCGTCACCCCTACCGGCGTGCTGCGGGAGGCCGGCTCGCCGGGGCTGTCGCTGGTGGTGTGGGCCGTCTGCGGGGCCTTCTCCATCGTGGGTGCCCTCTGCTACGCTGAGCTGGGCACCACCATCACCAAGTCCGGCGGGGACTATGCCTACATGCTGGAGGTGTACGGCTCCCTGCCCGCCTTCCTCAAGCTCTGGATAGAGCTGCTCATCATCCGGCCCTCCTCGCAGTACATCGTGGCTCTGGTCTTCGCCACCTACCTGCTCAAGCCCATCTTCCCCACCTGCCCGGTGCCCGACGAGGCTGCCAAGCTGGTGGCCTGTCTCTGTGTCCGTAAGTACCCACAGACCCTCTCCAGGTGCCTGCTGTCCTGCTACCCCACGTGGCTCCCCACTCACCGTCGCCTTCCCCAAAAAGTCAGCCCAAACAGCTAGCTGCCTTGAGCCTATCGCTGTGTAGGAGATGCACCATCTCTCCTGTGCTAAACTGGCTCCATACTGTTTTTTTGGGGTTGTTTTGAACAGCGTGAGTAGGAAATGTGGCCCCATCCCAAATAAATTGAGCAAAAAATTCCCAAACCGCCAGTTACAGGCTAGCAAGCTTCTCTGATTTCTGGCAATGCGGCGAGCAGCATGCAATAAATGCAACGTGCATTTTGGCTGTGCGCTGGGATGGGATTTCTCATGCCCTCCCACGGGAGCGTGTTCGGGCAGGGTAAAATCCCCTTGCAACCCTGCAGTGCTGAGGTGCAGCCCATGTATCAGCTATGCAGACACAGGTTAGGATAACGTGCGGTTGGGAAATTATCTGTCAGGAGCAACTGGTGCTGAACGTGGCCTGTGCTGCAGTGCCTGGCTGTTTTCAGCACCAGTTTTGAGATGAGGTGTTTCTCAGCTCTGTGTGCACTGATACTATGCTTGAAGCCCGTTCGGGTTTTTTTTGCTAGCGAGCATTATATCTCTGTGATGAATTTAGGACCACTGATGTCTGCCATGGCACACAAATCTCTCTCTCCTCCTGCAGTTTTTATTCTCTCTCTGGTATTTTGAGGTCTGCGGTTTTGCCAGTGAAGCCCCATTTTCCATTCCTCCGGTGACTGCAAAGTCACCCCATGCAAATTCCTCATTCTTTAAATACAGGACCATTTTCTGCCTCTCTCTCCTCATTTCCTAGTCAGTCTGTGTTCCACTCCACTGGTAGTTCTTGTGCCATTGTGAAGGTGTATATTGGGAAAGGGTATAATTTTTTGTGAGGGCTTTATAAAGCATTTATTTGTTGTACAAAGTTATAGTCAGGTGATCTTTTTATTTTTTCGTTTTGAGGTTGTGAAGAGAAGTCTGCTTGTTTGTGCTGTCCAAAGGGAGATTGTGTTAGATTCCTTCACCCTCTGAGATTCGCAGGCATTCAAAAGTTGAAGCACGTGGTTGTTATGGGAAGATATATTGACTGTAAACGCCTTCATACACAAACTGACCCGAGTCTTTGGTAGATACGTTACACGGCTAGCTAGTAGATATAATAAGATAAATAACAGGCAGGGCAGCAAATTTTACTTTTTTTGGGCAAGATTGAAACTTACTCATTCCCCTGATAATTTTTTAGGAACATAAGGGCAGGTAGACAGGCATGTGGACCTTCCATCCAAGTTTTTAACAAAGTGGAGTGCATATATTAAGGAAATATAGTCGCCCAACTAAGAAAGCTGTAGCAGGGTTAGAAAATAGTTCTGCTGATGGGTTTCTTGCCCCAAGTAGGGCCTTGTGAAAGAGCTGTTTTTAGAGCTTTCCTGCCGTCTGCAGTATGGTTTCCTCAGTGACATGGAGAAAAGGGGCATGCGTGCACGTGGCATTCACATTTTTTGCTGAGAAGCTAACAGAATCAGAGCATTGATTAGATGGATTTTCTTACTGTTTTGTGTCAAAGTTTTGCTGTGCAAGAACATATTGTAGTTGACAAAGCCTCTGAGAACATGTTTCTAATAATAAGTAACTTTTCATCTGCAGGTTTGTTCCAAAATAGGTGGGATGAGGTGTCTCTGTTCCCATTTTACTGATCAGAAAACTAATACGGGGGTGAAGTAGACTTGCCCGTGGTGAGATCTGTTCAGTGCCAGGGTGGATTGCAGCATGAAATGCCTTGATGCCAGGTCTCATTCCCACTTACGCTTCTCCAATAAGTAATATAAGTGTCTCTAACTTTCTTTTGCTAGTACTTAGTAGTTTTCCTGAAGCAGAATTTATTCTTGAACCTTTATCTTGAAATGCCAAGGAAAGAGTTGCTAGTTCTACAAATCTGCGTCATTTCCATGTGTTTCTTCTTTAAACTTTATTCCCCCCCACACCGCTGGCTACTATTTTGTTTATGCTTTGGGTTAAATTTTTGTTTGTCTCCTTTGCTACAAAAGGTTAGTTCCTCATGCGTTGCCTTCAGCAAGTTAGTTTTCTGCAACTTTGATTTTTGGAGTTAGTTTTTCTACTGTCTAGTGCCAAAACCACATCATGAACTAGGAACAATAAATGAAGTAAATCTGGTCCAAGGACTTAGCGAGTCACACAAAACTTCTGTGGACTAACAAGCGGCTTTGTTACATGGTTGTTCCAAACATACCCCGACCCAGTGAGATACTCTTTTTTTTCCAAGAGCCCTAGGGTAGGAAAAATGGCCTATTTGTGCATACGCTCTAGAGCATACGTTAACGAGTTACCTCAAAGAGGGGAAGAACAGTTTAGGAAGCAATAGGGGAATTTGGGGCCCCGGGCTGGAATACAGTTGACTTATTATGTAGCCAAAACCCAGCCGTCTAGAACAGTACCAGCTGTATTCTTTGCAAAGTTTGTATCTCGACATAAAATGCAATTGACTGCATGGTTTCTACTAAGAGGAGAAATAACAAAAGTTATTTGTTTCCACTTTGAGTGTTACTGATGTTGAACAGTTGAATAAATAATGTGTTGTTCAGTATTTGCCACCATGAAGTACAGATATTGAATTTCTAGGCATTAAGATAATCTGAATAAATCACAGTCTTGAAAGAAAGAAAAAATAGTTGGAATAGGGAATTTTGTTCCCCTTAAGGTGCTGAGGAAAACAAGGTGGGTGGTAAGTAGAATTTAGCTACAAATAGGTATTTTCTGCTATCAAGATTGTAATCTACAGACAGTTGGTACGCAAGACTACTTCTTCCATAAGACAACATGAATGCTTATTGTGGTTGCCAAATAAAAGTGTGGGAATTCACTACAGGGAAGTCTTCCCATAGCAAGATGCATCAAGCTGTTCATCATTAGTGTGGCTTATTTGATGTTCACAGCGAAACAGCCAGTGCTCCGTAGTTGTAAGAATTTGCAGGTAGTTTGGCTTAATGCTTTTGAGGCTGCGGGTTACTTAGGTAACTCATAAACTGCATGTTATTTTATCTGTGAGATTGGCTGGCTGATACTTTTAGGACTGATAAATCATGCAAGCAAATGCTAAGGGATAAAAAACCATAAGGTCCACCTGGTATCCAAGCATTTTTTGAACGGAAAAAGTTGACGTTCGTGAAACTGAGGATTTGTGCATATGCGTGAAAGCCCAACAGTTTTTTGAGATCACCCCAAACGTGATCTCATCTAAACCGCTTTTACCCCTTCTTCAGGGGATGGAGGGACAGTTACTAGGTCCTGACTTTTCATATTTGATGACATCTACATTACAGTATCAGTGTTGTACATGGCAAAGAATTGAACTACTAAGAATTGTACTCTGTGTTTCAGGTGCACGTTTGAGGCTATGTAGATAAATGAAAATCCATTATATTTGTTGGTGGTTTCTCTTTTTTTCTCTTGAGAAGGCATCACAGTGGAATGTACATTTGCACTGCACTTCCAACATACATGTATCTTTTTCTGCAACTTTCTCTAATTTATTTTCACTTTTAATTAAAAAAATACACACTTTTTAACTGAATATTTAGGTAGCAAGTGTAGTTTTGAAAGAACTTGTTTATATATGTTGCAGGACCATCTTCACGTAGCAGAAGGAGGATCATGTAAAACTGTTTAATCCTGTCTTTTTTACCCGTTGAAGAGGTGGTGTCCAGGTAATGGCCCGAACAGTGACATGGAACAGCATCCGACTGAAAGTGCATTTCTGGTATCTTACAGTGATAGCAGGTCACATTCGCTTTTACAGCTGGCTGCCACTTGTGTTACATTTCTTAAATTTGAACTGATAAATCTTAACAAAAATCATTAAAAAATGCACAGAGCACAACCTAATACACAGCGTACGTTCTAGAGGTGGCTCAAGGATGGAAAGTTTCAACTTATCCAGTTAAAGATAACACGCATATTTCTTATTTCCACCTGTTAATTTGCAGATTCCCTACATGTGAGAGGTCTTTGAGTTGTGGTACAGTAAATTCCCTGTTGATAAGGGAGACGGGGGATAATGCTGCTTCCAGACCTGAGCTGGTTCTTGCTTGGTGTTTCACAGGTGCCTGAACTGTTCTTGCTACACACATCCTTAGATGCAGCCTGCCACCCCCCCCGTGTGCTACATAACAGGTTATTCTAGAATTTACTTATTTCTTGACAATATAGTCTGCTCCAGAGAAGCTTGAGAAACCCTGCCAGTTACATATAATTTTACTCTTGATCGTCAATGTCAAATCAGTGATTTGATTGTTAGCTTCTGAAGCCTTTTATCACTTGTTAATTATATATGCTAATCTGGCACTAATAACTCCAATATTGCTGCAGCAATATCTGCTACTTCCAAGGCTACAGTACTTTAATGTTCTTCAAAATTTCTTTAGACTTCCTTTGCTGCTTCTGAAATACTATTCTGGGCACTCCTCCTGCAAGCATGGAATTCCAGTAAAATGATCACATATTTCTCATTCGTCTCTTTTGTTATGAACAGCCTAATAGTGGAAGAATTAGTAGCAGTCAGCACAGAGTTGAGCCATATCTAAGAGCATATGTCATATGGAAGCGTAAGTGCCTGACACCCTTCTGAGTACATTGTGAGTTAGAGGAGGAGAATGGTATCAAATCCAGGGTTTGGCAAAAGTGTATAAACACATGCCTTGAATGCTTGCCAAATTATAGCCGTAGTCCATAAGGGAATATTCAGTGTCAGCATTTCAATGAGAAATCGCATATGTTGAAAGCAGGAACGTCTTTATTTAGTATTAAGGTTTTACTTTAAATCTGACAGTTTGGCTGCTTGACCAGCTGTTGAAAGTGAAGCTATGGGTAGATTTTGAACTCATCAGGTATTAGATGGCAAGCAAGGCAAGCACAAAATACATCTTAGGCTTGTCAGTTTAAGATGGGTTTATTCTGCAG